CTCACATCCCCAGAGCCCTGCACACATTCCCAGAGATCTGCACACATTCCCAGAGATCTGCACACATTCCCAGAGCTCTCACACATTCCCAGAGCCCTGCACACATTCCCAGAGATCTGCACACATTCCCAGAGATCTGCACACATTCCCAGAGCTCTCACACATCCCCAGAGCTCTGCACACATTCCCAGAGCTCTGCTCACATTCCCAGAGATCTCCACACATTCCCAGAGCCCTGCTCACATCCCCAGAGCCCTGCACACATTCCCAGAGCCCTCCACACATTCCCAGAGCCCTGCACACATTCCCAGAGTCCTGCACACATTCCCAGAGATCTGCACACATTCCCAAAGATCTCCACACATTCCCAGAGCCCTGAGACATTCCCAGAGCTCTCACACATTCCCAGAGATCTCCACACATCCCCAGAGCCTTGCACACATTCCCAGAGCCCTGCACACATTCCCAAAGATCTCCACACATTCCCAGGGCTGTCAGCAGAGAGCAGCAGCCACAAGGAGCTGCAGAGTCCCAGCCATACGGGCTCACATCACCCTGGCCTGCTGTCACCAGCCTGGGTGTCCCTTCCCAAGGATCCAGGTTTCTGCAGGGTAACCCTGCAATGATCCCAGAAAAACCTCTCCTCCAAAGCAGGCTGGGAGAGCAGGGGTTGTTTGGGAAACCAGCCTGGAGAAGAGAAGATTCTGGGGAAATGCAGCCTAAAGGGGCTCTGAGGAGGCCTCACTGCAGCCTGGCAGTACTTAAAGGAGGGATGGAAAAAAGAGCACATTTTACATGTACAGGACCCAGGGAATGGCTCCCGCTGCCAGAGGGCAGGGATGGATGGGATACTGGGAATTAGGAATTTTTCCCTGTGAGGGTGGGCAGGCCCTGGCACAGCTGTGGCTGCCCTGCATCCCTGGCAGTGCCCAAGGCCAGGCTGGACAGGGCTTGGAGCAGCTGGGACAGTGGGAGTGTCCCTGCCCATTCCAGATGAGGTGAGCTTCCAGACCCCATCCATCCCAAGCCATCCTGTGATTCTGGGATCAGAACCCCTCAGGCAAAGACAGAAATAATTGCTTTTCCCAGTGAGTCCATCCCAACCTCCCTCTGCAGCTGCTGAGCCTCTGCACAAGCCACTGACACCATGACATAACTCAGCAAACATCAACCAGAACGCCAGGAAAGCAAATTTAACCTTTTCCACCAAGGTCAGAGGCTGCCTGTCCCCAGAGATGGCACCACTGTGGAGGCAGGACTGCTCTGTACCAGGGGTTTATAAACCCTGAGATGTGAGGGGCTTTGTGAGAAAGGAAAATCTGAGATACAGGCATTCCCATCCTTCCAGCCTGCCTGTTCCTCCAAGAAGGAGGGAGCTGAAACCCAAATTAAGCATGTTTAAGGCAAAGATGCATCCTGTTACAGGAATTAATTGCTGAGATTTAACTGCATTTTCTTAAAAAGGCTTTACATCTCAACTCCCATAACTATAAAAAAATGCACAACCTTTGTGCTTGTATTTCTCCCTGTATCTCTCCAGTTTTTTAATGCATACCTGCTTGGTACAATATATTCAGCTATGCTATGTTTAAAACCTAAATTCAGGTTTATAACAAGGGATGCAACCAATTCCTTAAGGGAAAGAAACCCTGGGGCACAAAGCAATGATTTGCAAACCTCCTCTCTTTTATAAACCATGCCCAGGTACGGAGAGCCAGACAGAGCCAGCTCAGGATTTCCAGCAGCTCTTCCTCCTCTCTGTGCTTGGTTTGAGAGACTCAGCCCCTGCAAAAATCAGGCCACTATTCATTTCTTCCTGCTGCAGAGACACAGCAAGTAATTTCTAGAAAATTACAGCAAACGAACTCATTTTGGTTATTTTTGTGCTTAGAAATCCATTGCAAATGCATTCAGACAGAGACAGGAGCTTTGGGGACCTTCCTTAAAGAAGATTATGAAACTGTGTTAGAGCAGCACAGCCTGGCTGCAGCTGGACATCACCACATTTCTAGTTTTCCCTTAATTAAAAGGGCTTAAAAAAGAAACTCATGGCATCATTTGGTGGGGAGGTTAATGAAGAAGCCTGGACAGAAGAACCAAATTTTATTCCAAACTAATTGCAGCCACTGCAAACCTCTGGCTGGTCTAGGGGAAAGTGTCCCTGGCCATGGCAAGGGGCTGGAACAAGGTGGTTTTGAAGGTCCCTTTCAGCCCAAACCATTCTGGGATGCTGTGATTATGCACTAAAGGATCTGGTGTTTTGTTTCACCAACAAGATTTAAGGGTGTTTTCTTGTCCTTTTGGAAATACGGCCATAATTTTAATTTATTTTTCATTAATTTTTTTTTCTCTTTATCTCTCCTTTCCAGTAGTAATCTCCTTGTGAGCCATGAACTGGACCAAAAAAACCCCACAAAGATTAAAGTGATATCTAAGAAATTAAATCTTAGAAATCTTATCTAAGAATTTTCTTTTGTGTAAAACAATGCCCTTTGGAAGTTCCCTGTGTGGGGCTTAGTGTGGGATCTGCCAGGCCATTGGATTTCAGCATTAGTGTCCCATCATGCCCGGTGAGTAACACACCAAGGCAATAAGTGAGTGTTCTGTTTAAAACATAAAATAAAACATGTTTTTAATCCCATATTTTAGAGACCATCCATAACTAACCCAGCCCATGGCAGGGGCTCAGAACTCAATGGTCTTCAAGGTCCCTTCCTACAAAAACCATTCCGGGATTCTGTGACCCAAATTTTCAGTAAATTCCTCAACTAGACTGAAAGGAAGTAAAAAACCACAAAACAAACAGGAGGAAAAAAAAGCCAGACAAACAAGAAAACCCCAAACCTACAATGGACAAGAGGATAAACTCATAAGCAAGAGCCATTAGGGATTTAATAAGTAGATGCAGGAGATGAGACCTCATTACTGTACTGCCCACACAAGAAAGCTGAAGCTTGATTTAATGAGAGAGGACCTGGCCTGACACAGATTTATTTCCCAGACAAGCCCTTCTCCTGCTCTGGCAGAAGATGTTCATTGTCAGGGTTTGCTGCTATCAGTCAGGCCAGCAGGTTAACTGCTCTTATTTTTACTATGGAAAGAAGATGTGCAGCAAAGCCAGTGCTTCTTGATTTCCCCTGCACAAGCAGCACAAACCAAAGCTCTTTAGAAGCCTGAAGAAAATAAAAGCCACCCCAAAGAGATGGTGGCAGGTCCCCACTCACCATGGGAGCCCCTCGGTGGCCCAGGATGGCCGGCCTGGGTGCCAGGGCTGCCTTGTCCATGATGCAGGGCGAGGAGATGGCCAGGGGCACGAGGTAAAGTGCAACTACAACTGCCAGGTACGCAGTGAACATCAGCATCTGCGAGGCTGGGGAGGACAGAGACACAGAGAGATGGTGAAAAGGCTGGCCCCGACCTCCTCACAGCACAGCAGCAAAGGCAAGGCTCCTCTGTCCTCCTCCCCTGATCTGCTGTCAGTGCTTAGGAAAAAAAAAAAAAAACAAAAAAAAATAAATTCAAGTCCTGAAAGAGGTTTACACTTCATTTCGTATTGGGGAAACAATAAATAAAGTGAATTGCTTCGACCTCCAGAAAAGGAGCTCAAAATGTTGTTGCCATTTCCACCCTTTGGGTGGGACAGCACCAAATTTTGCCCTGCCTGACAAGGGAAATAATTCACCAGTCACACACAGCTAAAAATAAGCCATGGCACCACCTCAGTGCATCGAAAGTTTATGTTGGTGGTTCACCAGCACCACCCACCTGAGCCAGGGCAAAGCCACTTCAGCTGCTCCTGCCTCGAGATTTGCACCAGAAAAATGCAATAATGCTTCACTGAGCAAGCTGGAGATGTTTAAATAAATCCCTGGGCTGTGACAGATCTGCAGTGCTTGGCGCCAGAGGAGCAGTTCTGCCTCCCATGCCACCCAAATTCCATTTATCAGTGACTTCCCAGCAAACCCAGGCTCCCTGGGAATCCTTTGAACACCTGAGAAATCTGGAGCCACTTGAAACCACAGATGTTACAGCAAAAGACTTGATTTTTAAATGTTTTAAAAGTTATTATTTATTTTGCAAACTCATGAAGGCTTTGGAACTAAAGGGATAACCTCCAAAAATAAAAAGGGGGAAAAAAATTAAAAAAAAAAAACAACAAACCCAAACTACTTAGAACAAATATTTGCAATGGATGCAAGATAGAGAAGGTGGTGTTTATTTTTAGGCCCAGCTCAGCTCCTGGCCACAGCCGATCTGGTTTCACTCATAAATAGGCTCCTTTTTGCTTCCAGCATCCAACAGGCTCATTCACACATGTTCCCACAAGGCAGAAAGCAACTCCAGGAACTCTGCCAGGGATTTTTGCCTCCATCACTCAGGGAGCACTGCAGGAACTCAGTGACACCTCATGCTGTGTCCTGCACCTTAAAGGTGTCACCAGCACCCAAAGCTGCAGGCAGACACAAAATGAGATCCTGACCAGGCTCTGAACATTCAGTTTAACCAGAGGAAAAAAAAAACCCTAAAAATTTCCTCAGAAAAAAAAAAAAAAGCTGAAATGCCACACAGAAAGGGCAAGAGAACAGGCTTGCACCAAGACCTGCAGCTGTTTCCAAAATATTAAAATCCTGTTTTCCATTAAAAGTGACTGGAGGTTCTCACAGATATTTTGGTTTTTTTTTTTTTTTCTTTTATTTCTAAACCACTATGTCTATACAAAAAAGGCTGTAAACTCTTCCAGGTAAGGTAAATTCCGTGATTCAAATGAGTCTGAAATAATCTTAAGATCAAGAGATGGCACTGTTTTTTCTTAAAAACAAACAAAACAATCCAAGAACAGAAAGAGAGGAGGAAAACAGCTTCCTGGCTTATTGAAATAATAATAATAAAACAAAGAGACAAGGAAAAGGAAAAAAGAGAAAAGGGGTGGGGAGGAAGAGAAACAGGGGTGGAAAAAGGGAAACAAGGGAGAGAGAAAGAGAAACAAAGGAGGGGAAAAGAGAAACAAAGGGGGAAAAAGAGAAACAAAGGGAAAAGAAGAGAAATAAGGGGGGAACAGAGAAACAAGGAGGGGAAAGAGAAACAAGGGGGAAAAAAGAGAAACAAAGGGAGAAAAAGAGAAACAAGAGGGGGAATAGAGAAACAAGAGGGGGAAAGTAAGAAACAAGGGGGAAAAGAGAAACAAGGGAAAAAAAAGAGAAACAAGGGGAGAAATAAACAAGGAGGGAAAATAGAAAAAAAGGAGGAAAAGAGAAAAGAAGGGGAAAAAGAGAAACAAGGGGCAGAAAAGGAAAAACAAGGGGGAGAGAAAGAGAAACAAGGGGAGAAGAAACAAGGTGGGGAAAGAGAAACAAGGGGGGGGGGAAGAGAAACATGGGGAAGGAAAGAGAAACAAGGGGGAAAAAGAGATAAAAGGGGGGAAAAAAGAGATAAAAGGGGGGGAAAAAAGAGAAAAACAAGGGGGGAAAAAAGAGAAGCAAGAGGAGCAGCCAGTGGCCACCGTGCAGGGACCAGGAGGTACTCACTGGCTTTCTCTGTCCGTGCAAACTGCCCTGCCACCAACCACGACAGCGCTGTCACAGCTGCCAGGGCTCCTATGTGCAAGAAAGGGGCTGTGGCCTGCAGGGAACAAGAACAGGAGAGGAAAATGGGATTAAAAACACCCCAGCACCTTGAAAATTCGTTGGTTTTGCAGGTTCTGTTTTGGACATTGCTTTCTTCTAAATGCTGATGGTACCTCTGGCTTTTGGGCTGCTCTGAAGGGAAAGGAGGAAAGCTCTAACCCCTTTTAGGGGAATTTCTCCCTCAATAACACAGATATTTGGGAAAAGGGCTGCTGGAGGGAGTGCAGAGGAGGCCACAGAGCTGCTCCAGGGTTGGAGTCCCTGTGCTCTGGAACCAGGCTGGGGAGCTCACCTGGAAAAGGCTCCAGGGACAACTTATTGTGGCCTTTTAGGACTTAAAGGGTAAGAAAACGTGGACAGATTTTATTAGGGTCAGCTGCAGTAGGACATGAGGGAATGGTTTTAAACTGGAATAGTCTAGGTTCAGACTAAATATAAGGAAAAAAAATCAGGATAATGGTGGGCAGGCCCTGGCACAGGGTGCCCAGAGCAGCTGTGGCTGCCCCTGGATCCCTGCAATGTCCAAATCCAGGCTGGATGGGGCTTGGAGCAGCTGGGACAGCAGGAGGTGTCCCTGCCATGGCAGGGGTGGCACTGGATGGAATTTGGGATCCCTTCCCACCCAAACTCATCTGGAATTCTCTGAACACACTGGCCTGTATCAGCAGGGTGCAGCAGCACCATGACACAACGCTGCAGATGGATCATCTGAGTCGTGATTCTGCTCTCCAATTCCCTGCCTAAATCTTAAAAATACCCCAATAAAATGAAGCACTTCTGAGAAATGTTAGTCATTTGTGTGAATGCCATTTCCACCCCCTGCATTTGCATAGATTTGCATACTCCCAAATACACGTCAGTGGTCACCTCTTCAGCAAAATGGGGAAAATATTTCTGGACTTCTTTTTTTGAGGAAGAGAGGAAAAGGAACCGAGAGCAGATCTGTAAGAAATTAAATTTGTAGACATTTTCCTTTCATACTTTTCTTGCCCTGCAAGACACCACAAATCTTCCTTAAAACAATTTTCTCATTTCCAAGATTTCAATCTGGGTTGTGACAACCATCAAGACAGAGTTTTATCATACAGAAATACATAAATCCCATGGAATTCAGCTGCACCAGGTGGTGCCATGGCTTCCTCCTCCAGGGAAACATCCATGCAAACAACTTACCTGCAGTGAAATAAAAACCATGTCCCACTCATCATCCCAAAGCTGTGCTATCGATGACATGGTCACCACAGTGGTTATCAAGGTTGTCACCAGGCCAATCTGCAAGAAACCAGGGAGTTTTTACAGGCTGGGGACTGTGGTTGTTATAAAAATTAGGTTGGGTTATTTATTATAGGTTGGGAAATGGAGAGAGAAAAGCTTTGTTTGTAATAAAAGGTCTGAAAGAAGCAATTCATGGGGAAGGAGGTTGGGCTCATGTGCTGTCATGTTAGAGCAGACACTGGGGCTGGGAAGGGACAGTGGTGGCACTGAGGTGACAGAGCTCAGCCCCCAGGACCTCCCTCTCTCATGGAAGCACTCAGAGGTCTGAGCAGAGCAGTCAAAAAGAAAACACGACCTCCGTGGTGAAGGTAAAGAGTTCAAACCATGGAAAAGTGCCACGGAAATAACTCCAGCTGCAAAGACTGGAAATCTGGGCTGCCTGTCTAAAAATAATTCCCCACTCTCTGCCTGAGTCTGGCATTCAGCCTCTGCTCTGCCAGAGCCAAAGGATGCTGCTGCAGGTGCAAAATCTGCAGGGGAGACTTGGCAGAAAACTGATCCCCAAAAATGAATGGATCACATCAGGTGCACAGGGCTCCTCCAGGACCATTTCAGGTTTAACATCCAGACCAGCAAATCAAATCCCACATTGCCAACATTTACAGAATCCCTTTGGTGCATGTAAACAGGATTCCTCTTTCTAGAGCCCTAATTCCCCTTGGTGTGGCCATCCTGTGTCAGGACACAAATCTCCACTCCTCCCATCAGCTCCAATTTATTGCTGCTTCTCCTCCCCTCACACTCATCTCCCACTTGGCTCACACCCCTCTGCACAGAATTGCAGGGGAAAATTGGAAGGAGTTGGGTGCTTTGCCCATACCAGCCTTTCCCACACTCTTTAATCTATATTTGAAGTTAATTCAGTACAGCTCTGAGAAAAATATTAACTTATTCCAGCCTTGTGTCTCAGCCTCCTTAGGAAGCTGGGGGAGGTGTGGGGAAGGGAAGAGACAGAGCCACACATCTGAGATGTGATGAGAAGGGGGGTTCTTGGAAGAAAGGGAGAAAGGGTGGGAGTCCAGAGGGTAGAACTGATTATCCATCCCTCTTCTGGACTTACTCATCTAAGCCCACCAGCTTATCTGAAAATACCATTTTTCCTGATGAAGAAACATATGTCAGACTCAAGAATTAATAACTTCTTTTGCAGCACCAGTCAGACAGTCCCTGCCCCTCTCTGGTTGCATCCTCTTCCCCTGAGGAAGCATAATTTCTACCATCCCTAAGAAAAAGAAAAAAAGGGAAGGAAAAAAAGGGAAAGAAAAAAAGGGAAAGAAAAAAGAAAAAAAAAGGGAAAAAAAAGGAAAAGGAAAAAAAAGGAAAGGAAAAAGGAAATGAAAAAAAGGAAAAAAGGAAAAAAGGAAAAAAGGAAAAGAAAAAAAGGAAACTGAAAAAAGAAAACTGAAAAAAGGAAAAGAAAAAAAGGAAAAGGAAAAAAGGAAACTGAAAAAAGGAAAAGAAAATAAGGAAAAAAGGAAAGGAAAAAAAGGAAAAGAAAAAAAAGGAAAAGGAAAAAAAGGAAAAGGAAAAAAAGGAAAAGGAAAAAAAGGAAAAGGAAAAAAAGGAAAAGGCAGGATGGGGAAGCGTCTGCTGTCCCTGTCCTGGGAGGTTCAGGCTCTGATCCTACATCACGTGCAGAATTTCAGGAGGAGCTGGGCACTGGCAGATTCAGGACTGCTCCCTTCATTCCCAGTCAGCAGACTGCCAGCTGCAATGGGATCCTGCCAACCCATTTTCTCTCCCTGCACACCTTTCCCTCCCTTTCTGTGCTCCAAATGTCTTTCCTTGTGTTTCACAGCAGCGTTTCTCCAGCTGCTCCACACACAAATCCCCTTGGGCCCAGCAAACCTCGCCCTGCACACCCCCAGCTGCAACACCTACAACTCCTTCTCCCAAGGCTTTTCCTGCTGGTCCTTCCAAGCACGCTCTGAACAGCTTCAGCTCTGCTCATCCCCTCTCCAGGCTGGGCTCAGCACAGAATGGAGCCCCAGAGAGGTTCATGGAGCCCCAGGGAGGTTCCTGGAGCCCCTGAGAGGTTCCTGGAGCACCTGAGAGGTTCCTGGAGGTTCCTGGGGCACCTGAGCTAGGATTGAATGAGGCTACTCTAAGCCTCTGGAGATGGACAAACTGGTGTTTCTCCATCTCTACATGTGGCCTCTCTATCATCAAGGACCAAAAAGCATTTCACCAAATTCTTTGGAGCTGAGATTTACCTTGTGCAGCCAGTGCAGGTTCATCTGCTGCCCCACAGCTATGTGACACAGGGCCAGGATCTGGGAGGGACAAACAGACAGTCAGACAGAGGCACATCACCACCCTGAAGGGTTTGAGCATGCAGAGGGACAGTGCCACCTGGATGGACATCACTATGAAGGTCCCAAAACCTTGGGACAAAGGGAAACTACTGCCACTTGTGCCCAGAGGTGGAAACTGGGCCATACCATGGGAAACAAATATGTGGTATCTGTCCTTCACTTTTGAGCATCTGAGCTCAAAGACCATCAGCTTCTCACTTTTGATTTTATGCAACTCCAGGCTAAGAAAAAGAGAGAGAAATCACTCCTCACCTTGCTGATGGCCTGAGCAGCTCGTGACCGTTTTAAAGCCAACACACAAAGCTCTAGGAAATGGGATTTCATTCCACTCACCAGTAACATTGTGATGTAGGTGAAGCCAGCAGCAGTTGTTACAAGGATTGGAATGGACCAGTCACTCCAATATCCCATCCGGTTATACAAAAACCTGGGCGAGAAGTGGGAAGGGCAGATTAAAAAGGGATTCAACACCAGGACAGCTTCACTGGAGTTAGACAAGACTTTAGGAAACAGATCTTTCCCTAGAAAAAGAGATAGGCAGCAAAAAGCACAAGTGACAGCCCAGTGCTTTAATCTCTTATGGAAATTAATGGATAGGGAGAGGCAGAGAAACCCCAGAACCCTTCTTGCAGCTTCTGACAGTTCAGACCTGACCTGGATTCAAATTTCACCTCTGGATTTTTAGGAAAAAAACCCCAAAACAACATTCCTAAATTGGCTTGAATCAGGGTTGACATTATCTCTATGCAAACCCTTTGGCACAGCAAGGACAGGATGGTTCTGGGGTGGAATCAGCTCAATCAATGAACTGGCTGGGGTTTTTTTTTTTTGCCTCTTAGTGCCTTTTCAAAAATTTTTTAAATTTATTTTATTTTTTGGTTACAACAGACAGAAATGCTGCATTATATAAGTGCAGGTCAAAGATTCAATCTCTTCCCCAGCACTCAAACCCAGCATCATTCATCAGCCAGAACCTCAGGTCTGTTTGGACAAACTCTGGGGTGGTTTTTGGGGCTGTCCTGTGCAGAGCCAGGAGCTGGAGTCCGTGATGTAATTCAGGATATTCTCTGATTCTCATTCTGTCCAGGAGCAAAGCTCCCCTGTGGGACCTGGAGAGCAAATCCTTGGGCTCAACAGGCATGGCCCAGGTCCAGGCCCTGCTCAGGGAGTCAAAGAGCACAAACCCAGGGATCTGCAGGGATCCAGACGTGCTGCTGGGAAAAAAGAGGGAAGAAAGGAACCAGGGCTCCTCTGAAGTCTTTGCTGATGCCACCACCCAGAGCTTCCTCAGCTCTCAGGCCATTTAAGCTTTTGCTCTGATGTCCCTTCAGTGTCCCTCTGAGAGCACCAGGCCTTCACCTGATGTGCAAATGATTGTTTTAAACTGCTGGGTCCATGGGAGCTAAGGAGCAGAGGAGCTTTCTCCAGAACCAAGGAAGAAAACCTTTGCTACACAGACTTGCATTTATGGCCCTGCTGCGGGGGGAACACAGGCAGGGTCACAAATCAGAGCATCCCCCTCAGCCTGCCTGAGCTTGAGTGGAACTTTCTGGTGCAGTACAAACCTCAGACAGTGCAGGGCTGAACTGTAATACTGTAATGAAATCAAGTGTAGATACCAAAAAGGAAAATGCCAAAAGCAATAAATTAAAAAAAAATACTGAAGAGGTACAAAGCATCTTCACTTCCAAGGATCTCAGTGGTAAAGGCCTGAAGCAATATCTGATGGCCCACAGTTTTGCCTTGTCCTCCTAAAACCCATTTCAATCCCAGAACAGCCCTTTGGTGCTCACAAGTTGAAATGACTTAACTGCTGCCCAAGCTGTCTGACACACAGGTAAAAAGATGAAAAACCTCCTCAAGGGTGGCAGAGGGAAAAGGCCCTCAGAGGTTTGGGTTGAAAAATCTCCTCCTAGAGGGTGGTACAGAGCTGAAGCAAGTCCCAAAGAGGGGAGAAATCTTTCTCCAGTCCCTCTCCACCTGGTGGGACAGGCTGAAGGTGACAGGAGCCAGGAGAGCTGCAGGGATGAGCTCTGGAGGGCAGGAAGGAGCTCAGCAGCTCCTCACACCAATATCACAGCAGCTCCTCTTCCCAGCTCCTCTTGGGGCAGTATCTTGGTGTGCCATGCCCCAAAGAGCCCTTCCTGTCCTCTGGAGGAGATCCCAGCTTGCCAAGAAATCAGTGGGGAAGAGAGGAAGGCAGCAGGAGTAAGCAGCAAAGAAATCTTGTCCAAAACCACCACCCAGAAGCGACAACGACAGAGCAACAGCAAAGGTGCTGCTTCTAAACACCAGGGCCTCGCTGTGCCTCATCAGCAACAGGTTCACAGCTCTGCAGGGAATAAAATGGTGCTTTCAAGTCCTTCTCACCCTGTCTGGCCCCAAACTGCTCTGTTTTCAGGGAGCCCATGCAGCTGTGCTGGAAGGGAAGGGCCAGGCTCAGCCTGCACGGACCCAATGGAAATTATTTCTCCCCTTGCCTGGAACTGGCATGACTGTAATTAAAGCCTCACCCTGTGTTCTCCTCCTCCTACCCAGCCTCTCCACAGCTGTTTTCCAGAACCCTGCTCGACCTCTGGTGGTGTGTGGAGCAGGGGTGCAGCTGGGGTTACAGCACACACAGAGCACTGAGCCATTCTCAGGGCCTGAAATGTTGTTTTCATCCACAGAGCCTCTTCCAGCCCTGTGCTGCACACGAGGGAATCCTTTCCCTCTTGGGATGTGCTTCCAGCACCCTGGGATGCATGGCAGGGACAGGGCTTTGGTGACATCTGTGTTAAATCCCAAATGCCTCTTGCATGCAGAGCAGAGCTGCACATCTCCCCCCACTCCAGCAAGAACATTTGGGGACCCAAAACTTGGCAGCACTGCAGCTGCAGTGCCCATTCCCAGCATTCCCAGGGCTTTCCTTCATTTCTGAAGGAATGTTTTAGCCCTCTCACAACTCTGTGCTCAGACAGAGCTGGTTTTGCACTGGAGCAATCGCATCCTTTACTGAGGGTACAAACTGAAGAAGAGAAGGGTTCCAAAATACCACTTAAAAAAAGGCATGTTTATCATGCTGCTGTTACAAATAATACAGAACCACAGTAATGGTTTCACTTCTCACAGTGTGGGCGTGAGCAAAGAGAAAAAACCCATTTTTCTCCTGGGAGGAGCCAGCTCACATCACCATGTTGGTAAATACTCTCCCTCACACAGCTCCAGCATCTAAAGCAGATGATTTATTTAAGGGATCAGCTCCCCACTGTGCTTTAAAATCCACTTTACATCTTATGTTTGACAAGAAGATGATGTCAAAGCAGTTTGGTTAGAATACAGCCCAAGGTGCTGTCAAAATGTTTTAAGATGCTGCTGATAGTAAAAGGGAGAATAATTTCCAGCACTGGAAGGCAGCTGGCAACACCCTAAATTCCAGCACATCCCACTGCAAAGCTCCTTTTCAGCTCCTTCCAACTTTGTATAATATTTTCCACACCCATGTGCTTCAGGCTGAATTTTTGCCATGGGTATTTTGTGGAATAGCTGCAGCCAAATTGCTCAGTCACTTTCAAATCCAGCCAACCATCAAGATAAACAAACAAAAACCCAGCCACCAAGTGGAGATGTGAGGCCACGTCACATCCACACACAGATCAGGCAGAAGGAGCTCTCCTTGAGCCCCACTTCCCACTAATTTTCCCTTTCTCACCATTGCAGCTCCATCCAAAGGATCTGGATGAACCCAAAGCTGCATCAAGCAGGTGCATGATGGCCAAACCCCAAATTTCCTGAGGGAAGCTCTACTCACCAGTTGATTTCATTGTAGTCATTGTGAACTTCCCACCAGAAGTAAAACCACACCAGGGTGAGGAAGAAGGATGAAGTGAGGATGAGGAACCAGAGGCGCTCCCACTGTGGAGGAAAAGAGAAGTCAGTGTCAGCAGGATCCCAATTGGTCCCAGCTGTGGAGACTCAGTGGAGTAAAGAGGCATTTCCAAAGGCAGATTTGGAAATGTTCCACATTTCCCCAGGTCTGGGCAGCGGGCTCGTTTATGTACATTCACCGTATGGAGGGCTGGAAGAGCATTTCTCCAGCTGCCAGGGAAGAGGGGACATTTCCAGATGTGGAGCTGGGGTTTTGTTTGATGAGGATTTTTTGTTGTTTAGGTGGGTTTTTTTGGGTTTTTTGGGGCAATTGTTTAATTACCTTTTCCATTCTCATGCATCTTCCCCTCCCCTGGGCTTAGCCTGAATGAGCAGCTATCCCGTGGTGAAGATTACACAGCAAATTAGGGATGTTCCTACTCCTTATTCCTTCCCCTGAGGTGCTCAGATCCTGCAGAGCCAAACCACCCATCCCCAACATTTATTCCTCCCACCACCACATATTTCAAGTGTTTTACAAACAGACCACACCAGCACCAACATTCAGCATGCAGGAGCATTTCAAATTCTCCTCAACACACACACACACACACACACAAAAGAAATCCCTCAAACAAATCTGTTCAGTGCCCCTGCTCCAATGCCATGGATAAAATCCCAAACCACAAGGACATCAATCAGTGCCTTCAAACTGCCTCCCACCAGCACCATTTCCATGGGCTCCTGGTTGGTTTTTAACCCTTGGCCTTAAATAGTCCACAGGTGTTTTCATTTCAACAGGGAAAACACTGAAATAAACTCTGCGTGGAAAATATTCCAACAAATCCTCTCTTCCCACAATGAGCAAGGAAGGATGAAGACTGGAAAAGACTATGAGCAACTCTGCCACTGTAATTCCCTTCCAGATCCTGAGCACACACTGATTTTTTTGGAAAATGCTGTTTTCCCTGGTGAACTTTCCTGGCTTTTTAATTATGCAAAACAATGTAACCAATATAGTGACAACAGAAGCATTAAAAAATACTAGGTCTTGCCTCCTTTTCCATGCTAAGGGCTGGAGTTACCTACTTAACTGTAAATTATTTTTATAATTATTTTTAATATGGCTATTTTTTAACGTGCATCACCCTGGACACTAATCCTGTGATACAGCTCTTCCATCATAGAAAAAAAAAAAAAAAAGCCAAAATAAAGCAATAAAAGGGTTGGAATGATTTTGCTTTTGCTGTGCCAAAAATGATGTTTTCTCATAGAAATTCCAAATTCTTGGCTGTATAAGCCAATCCAATTTTGCCCAGAGAAGCCCCTGGATCCCTGGAATGGTTCCAAAGGCTGGACAGGGCTTGGAGCAGCCTGGGAAAAGGAAAGTGTCCCTTCCCAAGGTGGGGTGGCACTGCATGGGCTTGAAGGTCCCTCCCAACCCAAACCATTCCCCTCCCTCTGGATGCCTTCCACTCTGCACACCCCCAAGATCCCAAACCTCAATTTCCCACTGTTTGTTGGGATTTTCTCTCCCCCTCTCCATCGGGGTCTCACACCTCCTTGCATATTTAACCCATATAAGCTAAATATGGGTTATATTCCCACATATATTTGGGGTTTTCCAAGGCAAGGGAGGCTTTAGGTACCTTTTATGCCACAGACCAAGATTTCTACAAAAATCCCACCCTCCAGCTCTTTAAAGGTCACTCTGGGCTGAGGCTTTGCTGATATTCATGCACTGGGTGGCACTGATTTGATAAACAAGCCAAGGAAAACATTTTAAAACCTTTGAGCTCTTCCCCCTGTATATATAAAGATAATTCCCCCCCTTATTTACATGCAGGCAGCAGAGCTTGTGGCAAGCTCTCCAAAAGCTATTTTGGGTCTGTCCTTGAGGGTGCCCTTGCCATGCCTTGCTGGTTTTGTGAAAAGCCAGGCAAATTCTTCTGTCTCAAGGCATCCTTCAGTGAGTTCAGCCACATTTCTCAGCGGGCTTGCAGAAAAAAACACAGAATATTTGATCTTTAAGGTCCCTTCCAACCATTCTCTGATTCAGTGATCAACAGACACAATCAGATGGGCCCCCAAAGGAAATTAATGACAACAGAGACATTCTACCAAGTTGTAGATTGCCAGATTTTAAAATTTTAATTAAAATCACAAAATCCTTAATAACAAACAAGTATATAAATTAGTGTTTCATACACATTCTCCACCACTTTTGCACATCCCCAATCCCTACCCCATGCCAGGTGGGAGCAAAACCAGCTCCAGGTTAGGGGGTTTTGGGGGAAAAAAAGCCAATCCACATATTGAAGGAATTTTCAGAAAAGCCAGTGTTTGATTCATCTGTGACACTGGCTCACGGATTTTCCCCACTCCTGTGCTTGAAGATTTAATCTTGTTTAAAACAGCACTGAAATTCATATCACAGGGGACAGATTTTCCAATTTAGGGATTAGTTTTGGTTAACTGAAGGCTCTGCCAGTCTCTTTTGCTGCAACTCCCCAAGCCAGACAAAGCATTATTTACTGCAGTGCACAGGAAAGCAGAGAGGCTCAGGAAGTTTATTTCATTTATTGCATGATCTGTGGGAGATGTTGTGAGGTTTAACCACACACACACTCCCACCAACCCCTCCCACAAGGACTTTCTCAGTTCTATATTAGAAACAGGAATTTCTCACCTATTTCATTCCAGATGATCACACATATGCCAGGAGACACCTCCCAGCATGGAACCATTTGTGAACTAAAAAAATCCTTTGACCAGGAAATCCAGGCTATCTAAATTGCCTCTTTTGCTCCCAAAAAACAGATCAGCACTGCATCAGGATTCAGAGTCTGATGTGAACAAAAAATAAAAAAAAAAAAATCAAGACTGCCCAGGGTGAGAGTGCATTGATCTGAAGTGGTTATCACTGCATGCACATGTGCCTCTCTTCCTGAGGTTAATTCTATTAATCACAGAATTAGAAAGGCTGGAAAAGAACTCAAGATGAACCATATCATTAATATTCTTCATATTATATATTAAGAGTAATAGAATTAATATTTATATAGCGATAGGATATATAAATAAATTCAATATATTTATAATTAACATTGATTTAAATTACATAATTAAGCTGGCTCTATCAGAACTCTGTCCCGAGTCCTGTGGGCAAAACAGAGGGTCCAACACGTGAGGCCATATTAAATTCCTTATTTTTACCACATAACAGAGGGTCCAACACGTGAGGCCATATTAAATCCCTTATTTTCCCCACATCCAGTCCCCAGGGGTGCTGAGATGCTGCACCCCGAGCTCAGCTGCCCCCTCACACTCCCTCTGGGAAGCAGAGCCAGCCCAACACTTGGCTCCAGGTCTGCTCCGTGGGAGCCAAGGCAAGGCCAGAGCCAGCTGATTCCCTGACAGAGCCAACAGAGCAGAAGGATTTTGCTCCAGAGAAGCTGCTGGAGTCGCCCCAGCTGACAGCAGCCCTGAAATGCCATCCTGCACCTGTGCTGCTTGCTGGAGTCCCTGCCAGCTCGTCCCAAGCAGGATTAGCATCCCTGAGATCCACCTACGTGTCCCAGCCTTGGGAGGAAACAGCAGAACCCTTCCCAAAAGCAAACCCACACCCCCAGCATCCTGCCTGGCACCCAGAGAGCTTCAGAGGAACTGTGAGGAGAGAAGCCTGCTTTGAACTGGGAATGGGCCTGAGGAAATGCCTCTGCTGGCTGGGTTAGGGCTCCATTCCCACAGGGACGAGCTCACAGCACACATTCCATCAGCGTGGGTGAGGCTGGGTCGCTTCCAGTGCATCCTCAGGAGCTTTCCTGTGAGGGAACCCAAATGCCACTGCTGGAGCGTGCTGCAGGTCACCCCAGCGCAGCTCAGAGGGGAACAGATGGATTTTGTATTCCCTCCTGGAGTCACATCCACCTGCGAGGATTGGCTCACGACAAACCCACTGTGCCCCAAGCTCTCCCAGAGCAGCTGAAACCACAGCAGAGTCCACCCAAAGATTCCACCTAAAGCTTCCATCTAAAGAGAAAGCTTCCACTGAAAGATTCCACCTCAAAAAAGATTCCACCAAAAGCTTCCATCTAAAGAGAAAGATTCCACTGAAAGATTCCACCTAAAGACAGAGGCTGCACATAAAGATTCCACCTAAAGAAAAAGATTCCACCCAAAGTAAAAGAAAGATTCTACCCAAAGAGAGAAAGATTCCACTTAAAGCTTCCACCCTAAACACAGGGAGGAGGTTGTGGGTGCTTGGAATTGAGGAGATCCACCTCAGAGCAGATAGATCTTTGTCACTTAAAGATATTTTCTTTAAAAGACTGAGAAAACTGGAGAGCATCAACAGCTTGGAGCAAGCTGGTGTGGTGGAAGGTGTCCCTGCCCATGGCAAGAGTTGGAAGAAGATGATCCCTAAAGTCTCCCAATCCAAATCATTCCGTGGTTCTGTGAACTCTACAAGGAGCCACCACTGAGGCCGGGCAGAGGACACAGCCCAAAGTTGTGTAGATGTTTAAATCAGATGAGTGCAGCAGTTGGGGCACATTTTTTATTTATAAAATAAAAGGGAAAAAAGAGGAAAAAGGGAAAAAAGAGGGAGAAAAAGGAAAAAAAGGAAAAAATGTGGGGGGAAAAAAAAATAAAGATGAAAAAGGGGGAGAGAGGGGGAGGAGGAAGCCGACCCTCTTGTTTCTGGGGCTGCCACTCATCCACCAGGAAGAAGGCTCTTATTCAAGGCAAAGTGCCTCTGGGAATCCATGGCTTTCAGTCCCTGGGGAGGACCCAACCCATTCTCTGCCTCCTGAGCACAGTGAACCTCCTGTTCATTCATTAAAATAATGAAATAACTAAATGAAAATCCAACTAGAACAGGAAGAAGCTGTTTAACAATGTCTTACCCCTCCTCTCCCCCCCCCCTCTTTTTTTAATCAGAAAAAAACTCCAGTTTTGAAAAACAGAAGCCTTTTAGAGAAGATTTAATATTTTAAAGCAATTTCTTGCTGAAGGGCATCTTGGCTTGAGGATGGAATTTCTGCTGA